TATGGAAATATGAATATATATATATATATATATATATATATATACATATATGCTGTTTATCCTCTTTGTTAGTCTTTTTATATAAGTGCGGTGGAGGCCGCCTAAACAAAACCCTAAACCCTAAACCCTTAAAGCTAAACCCTTTCAGCAGAGACAGCAGAGCCGATGGGGTTTAGTATAACTCAACCCCTCCCACAAACCCTAAACCCTAAACCCTAAACCCTAACAAACCCAAACAAAAGAAACCCCAATAGAGCATCGTAAACCCTAATTAATAAACCCTTACTAACAAAACCCTAAACCCTAAACCCTAAAACAAAACCCTAAACCCTAAACCCTAACCAACAAACCCTAACTAATAAACCCTAACAACCAACAAACCCTAATTAATAAACCCTAATAAACCTTAATTTATAAATCATAATAAACACAAACCCTAGGGGCTCTAACAGCACCTGAGGGCCCCCAAGTTGCTGCAGAGGGGGCCCCCAAGAAGGCCCCCATCAAAAGGCTGGGGGCCCCCCTAGGGGCCCCCCTAGGAATTCCCTATTGGGGGCCCCCCTAGGGGCCCCCCTATTGGGGGCCCCCCCCACGGGCCCCCCTATTGGGGGCCCCCCTATTGGGGGCCCCCCTATTGGGGGCCCCCCTAGGGGCTGCGTATGAACCCCCTTGGGGGCCCCTTGCTGCGGTGTGTGGTGCTACGGTGTCTGCCATAGAAGAGGGAAAGGAGAAGCAGCAGCAGAAGGACCAGTGGACCAGCCTCCTCCTAAAGAATCTTGCTGCTGCTGCTGCTGCTGCTGCTGCTGCTGCAGTGGAAGCTGCGGCTGCTGCTGCTGCTGTTGCTGCAGTGGTAGCTGTAGCTGCTGCTGCTGCTCGTTAAAGAGCTGCTGCTGCGGGAAAAACGGCCACAGGTCCTGGGGCTGCTGCAGCATCTGCTGCTGCTCTACCTGCTGCTGCTGCTCTTGCTGCTGCATCTGCTGCTGCTGCGTGAATTGCTGCTGCTGCGTGAAGGGGAAGTTTTGCTGCAGCAGCGGCTGCTGCGCTGTCGGGGGCATAAACATATGCTGCTGTTGCTGCAGCTGTTGCTGCTGTTGCTGCAGCAGCTGCTGCTGCTGTTGCTGCTGCTGCTGGTGCTGCTGCTGGTGCTGCTGGTGCAGCTGCAGCAGCTGCTGCAGCGGCGGCAAGTTGGGGTTTATTTCTTCTTCTGTGATGGGGGGTGTAGAGTCGTAAGAGGGTACGGGCTGCTGCAGCAGCAGCCCCTTGTGCTGCTGCTGCATGCGTTCTGCTGCTTGTTGCATGCATGCAGCAGCAGCAGCAAGATCTCTGACAGCAGCAGCAAGTCTTTTTAAATGTATATCTTTTGCTGCAGCAGGTAAATATATTTCTGCTGCTGCTCTACCCAGCCACAACGTCTCCAGCAGCAGCACACCCATCGCTCTTATATATTTTTTTGTTTTTTCTTTTTCTCCCCCCAGCAGCAACAAACCCAAATACCTTATATCCTTAGCAGCATCTTCCTCAACCACAGCCAGTACATCTTCTATAAACTTATTCACTCCCGCTACACCACCAGGGGGGCCCCCCCCGGGGGCCCCTACCCCCGCGGGGGCCCCCTGGGGGGCCCCCTGGGGGGCCCCCCCCTTTGGGGGCCCCTGGGGCCCCCCCCCTCCACGCCCTGAGGAACCAACGGGGGGACCACCGAAGGGGGTTGGGGGGCCCCCCGGGCCCATTGGGGGCCCCAGGGGGGCCCCCCCTATAAGGGTTTGTTGTTGGTTTATGTTTG